TTTTCACACCAGTGATGAATTCCTCAGTAAAACTCAAACATGTTTCGGTAAGATCTGGGCTCATGTTGAAAACCTTCTGCACCAATATCACGTATCTACAGTATTTCAAGATAAGTTTCAGTAATCAGCTGAAGTTTGTTCTGGATGCTAAATTCCCCTAAACAATGCCTCTAAACACAGGCATTGTTTGTTTAGTGACCAAACCTTTTCTTTGTCTTTTTGAACAAATAAATAAAAGTCCTAATATTGGAGCTCCTTCTTTTTTCCCCATTTGTTTCATCCATGACAAGAAACCTGTGCCACTGCTGATCACAAAACTGGTTTTTGAAGATCAAATTTCATAAATCAGTCACTTTTGAATTCAGTCATTTTCAGAGGCTCAAAAGTAATTTGACAATTTAAAATTAAAATCATGGCCCAGAGAGGCCTGTTCACTCATTCAATCTCTCAGGGAAGTAGGTATAATTGTCTTCATACAGAAAGCTTACAAGAAGATATAAAGGAGAAAACAGGAAGGCTAGATTAAACTTTGCCAGGAAATATCTAAAAGAGCCCCCCGAAAATTCCTCAGATCTTGCACCGATGAAACTAAGAATAATTTGTAACATGATGATGGAAACCAAAATGTGTGGAGATGATGTCATTGTTGATAGATGTAGCAAGATATTCTGTCCTTACATGTTATAGAGCATTTTATCTTTCCATAGATAAAGGCATTGCATTGGATGCAGAAATTATAGAAATTAATGCAAAATTCACTAAATGTTGTTTATGAAGTGTCTGAAGCTCAGAACTGCACGGAGGAGTCCCACTCCCACCCTTCCTCCCACATTCACTTAAAGCATACCAGCTTAACGACAGACTGGTTTAGGACAAGTGGCCACATTAACTTTATAATAAAGATGTGTTCTTAGATTGATTTAACAATAATACCTGCATGAATCTAAACAATCTAAACAATCTAAACAAGTGAAATCCCAAGTCTGACACCAAGACGAGACACAAATCACTTTTGGGTTGCGTCGGGAAGTACAAGTTAAATCTGCTAAAGAAAACATGTGGAGCTATCTGCTGTGGCAAACAGATGTAAAACAGGAGCAGTTCAAAGTACCTTTATCTGATTCTAAACTGCAGTCCCGTGTGTCGGGTTATCAGGAATATGCAATCTTTCTTTCAAACAAAGCGCCAAAGAAATATTTTCTTGGAAATTTGTTTTTCCTTTTACTGAGGCAGGAACTATTCGCAACATCATTTACATGAACGGAAAGTTGAAGCAGAGCCAGACTGCACTAAACAGCAGCTTCATTTACACAAAACATCGAGCCAAAGTGTTTTTATGAACAGAAGCAAAGCTGGCTTTAAATTTAACAGGCCAGTTTTCTTTCTGTCATCATTCCCCCCTTTATGGAAGACTTCTCCATCCGACTGCTCTCCACTTCAGAGTGACTCCACTCACAGCTCTCTCTTTCACATTGTGAAAGCTGCTGAGTGATAAAAAAAAAAGCAGGTTAAAAAAATAATCTTTCTCAAACATCACATTCACAAGATTGACCATGAGGTCAAAGTTACTGACATCTCGTGTGAGATTTTCAATAGATACACAGTATTAATTCTAGGTGAGATCCCAGCAAACAAGGGAGTGTTCAGGGATTATTTACTACCCCACTTCAGCTAACGTTTTCTAAACGTTGTGTGTAGAAAGTTTTCCTCATGTTAGGGAAAAGTTCACTTTAGATAAAAAAAAATGGTTGGGAGGATGTTTTAAAAACATTCCCCAGATTGTCAAAACCAACAATAACATTGTAAACACAATAACTCGACAAAGTCTATATAGTCTAAATCTATAACCTCGACCTTCACCTTCAGGTTGAGGTTGAGGTAAT